CTCAAGCGAGCCATGCAAGACTATGGGGGTTCGGAGGGAAATGAGGAACAGGAGGAGGATGACGAGCCTAACCCGCCGGTGCACCCACGGCCAGGAAGGGACCCGAGAAGTCAAAACGAGGGCTCGATCAATGAGCGCATACTCGCACAGCTCAACCGACAGAATCGAATCATGGAAGAAGGGTTCTCATCCTTGATTCACACCACGCGCGCACTCGATTAGAGGGTAGCAGCGATCGAGGCCGCCTTGGGCACTCGTGGGGCATCCAGTTCCAGCGCAGGAAATCGAGGTACACCCGGATCTTCTCTATCACAACACCACCAAAAGCTCAGCCTACCCCGAGCCAAGGCAAACGTAAGGCCGCATTCCTAACCGGAAGGCCAAGATACGAGATGTCTAGGGGTGAAAGGATGGGCTATCACACCGGGCTTCGGGGACGAAGCCCCTTGTAAGGGGGGGAGAGTGTAACACCCCGTGTTACGACCCCTAAAGCTAATTAACTAATTAACCAATAGCCCAAGAGAAAGAATAAATTATAATGATTAATTAGGGAAAAAGGCCAACCATAGTCCGTGAGCCCTCATCCCTAAACCCAACCCCTAGTCCCAAAAGGATTGGAATCCAAAATAAGACCCCTAGATCTATAAATAGGGAACTTAGAAGGCACCTAGAATTCCCACCACAATAATCTCCCACCACCCAAAGAGTTCAAAGAATTCCCTTAGGAGAAACCAAGAAAGCAAGAAAGCTTAAAGAAAGATCCTTCATAGCCAAGGAATTAATTAAGGCTAAGAGGTAACCCATGTCTCAACAAAACCTATTTTCATAGTTATGATTCCCCCTTAGGGTTTCCCCATATTATTGCGTATTGATGAATTGTGGCGTTATTATTGATGATTGATGTGATGATCCCATGGGGGATCTTGATAATCTTGTTATTGGGAGATTCTTGATAATTATGGTGTTCTTGATGATTATGTGGAGTTCTTGATGATTATGTGATGTTCTAGATAGTTGTGTGTTGTTCTTGATGCTTATGTGTTATTCTTACCGAATCTTATAATTAGAAGACGAATCGTATTCTTGTTGATATAAAAGTGATTAGAACCCTAGGTTGTATCGTATGATATTATTCTTGGTTTATCGGGTGGGGAAATCGCATGTTTGGGTGTTGATTATGTTTAGAAAAGCATGATAGGTTATGTGCCGTACGTTTCTCGTAATTGATCCGTTAATTGTCTACGTGTTGTTGTTAATTGCGTTGTGAAAGTGTCTAAGCATGGTTTCGGGTTCCACAATGGTTCCCGGGGCGTAAATGTGATGAAAAGAGTAAGTGGGGGTAGGTGGGGGGGGTAGGGGACCCGCCACCTGCCCACGGCCGAGAAACCGTCACCGGCAGCGGGCAGCCGGCGGGCGGGCAGCTGCCCGCCGGCGACCCGCTGCCCGGTACAGTAAGATCCGGCGGGCAGTCGGCAGGTGGCCCCCCACCCACCGGCTACCCGCTGGAAATCATCCCCCTTCGGGACCCCGGCTTCCCCGTTTGATGTTCCCCCGTTCCCCGTGGTGTCCCAACGGACTCCGTTTATCGTGCCTATGTCTAGTTTGATGTTTCGGGTACCGTTCGTAGGTTTATGAGTCTATTATATTGCATGCTAGTTGAATTGGTATCCCGTTGACCTAGGTGGAAGAAGTATGAACCCCTTAGGACTATTCTTAGTATGTGATGGATCACGCATAGGTTTTGTTATACGCTTTCCCCCCCTTCCCAATGTGTAATGTGGGTTGCATGTGCTTACTATGTGTTATGTGTGTGTGTTACCCCAATTCGGTTGCGATCGGATTGGTTATTCCTGAGCTGCGGTTCAGAAGCTGGCTGCGGTCAGATTGATAATCTTGGGCTGCGGTCCACCGTTTGGTTGTGATCAAACGTTTCTATATAAGCTGCGGTTCATACCTTCCTGGCTGTGGTCAGATGACATTCTCTTGGGCTGCGGTCCACTGTTTGGTTGCGATCAAACTATGATGAGCTGCGGTTCATCGGTCGGTTGCAATCGACCCCTCCGTGTTGCGATACGGGGCAGGGTGCTGTGGGGCCGTGTCAGAGCTATATGCGCTGACCCTCATGTATGGGCATGCGATTGGTCCTGTGGCGCCAACAAAGTGTGCTTATGTGATGAGATATGGATGAATGATGGTTATGAGTATTTGGGGTTGTGACTACGGGATTTATGTTGGGGATTGCTATGTTGGGTTGTGATTATTAATTGTGCTTAGCTTACCTGCCTGCCTGTTGTGAACTGCATATGTTGTTATAACTGTTGCTTGTGTCTAGCCTTATCTGTCGAGTCATTCCCGGTTTTAAAAGCTAGAGTTCGTAGGATATATCTTCATGCTCAAAATGGTTTTCGTATATCTATATATATCTCTATATGTATTGTATTTCAACGCGTTGGAGTGGGTTACCAGCATCTCTCGCTGAACAGATATATTTGGCTTTCAGGCGCAGAAGATTAAGTCACTGGAGCGTGCTAGATCTTGGAGCGTAGAAGTAGATTGTTTCCCCCTTCAGGCCTGCGTGCCATGTTTATGTATTTACACTTTGAGGATTTTAGTTAGTTAGCCTGTGCACTTGGGTTCTCTAGCCCAGGTGTGGCATAGCACCCCGAACGCTTGTATTGTAGTTTGGGATTTAATGAGATTCTACCTTTACCATAAGTTTTAAAAAGTCTTAAAAATCTGGGGTGTTACACACACACACACACAAACACACACGAAAGTTCAAATGCGGTGGTGCGGCGGAATTTCAGAATACACCAACAGTGTTAACAATATGTACCAAGGTTATAATGGAGCAAGTAATATGCATGGTGAGTTCAATGGTCTTAGAACTTTGATTATGAATTAGAATCCAAGTGTTTTTTGTGTTCATTGTTTCGCTCATCAATTACAACTAGCACTTGTGGGTGTTGCAAAGGAAAATGAAGATGTTGGAGATTTTTTTGTCACTGTCTCGTAATTGTGCAATATTGTTTGTGCTTCATGTAAGTGCATGGATAGCTTACGACACAAACAATTAAAGATGTTGATCGATTTAATTTCGAATGATACAATTGAAACGGGAACTGGTTTGAATCAAGAAGCAGTTTTACAATGTCTTGGTGATACACGTTGGGTATCTCATTACGTTGCACTTGTAAGCATTGTCACATTATTTTCACCAGTCATTGATGTTCTTGACGAAATAAGGCATGATCCAAAACAAAGGGTAAAAGCATTTAGAGTATTGAAGAATGTCTTATGCTTTGATTTTGTGTTCTTGTTGCACTTAATGAGGGTTGTTTTAGGAATTACCAATGAGTTATCACATGCATTACAGAAGAAAGATCAAAACATTATGAATTCCATGAGACTAGTTGATGTCTCAGAAAAAATATTGCAAATGATGAGAGATGATGGGTGGGGGCTCTTTTACAAGAAGTTTCTCTCTTTTGCAACAAGCATTCAATTCTCATACCTAATTTGGATGAAGTTTATGTAGTGCCAGGAAGACCTCGCCATAAAGTTGAAGAAAGGACTCATCTTCATAGGTACCGTGTTGAAAGGTTTTATGTAGTCTTAGATCTACAAGTCCAAGAGCTAAACAACTGTTTAAATGAGAAGAATACAGAGTTGCTCTTATGCATGGCATCTTTTGATCCAAAGAATTCATTTGCTATGTTTGATAAGGATAAATTAGTTCGATTGGCACAGTTCTATCCAAATGATTTTTCTGATGTTGAACTTCAATTACTAGATAACCAACTACAGACTTATTTTGTTGATGTAATTTCTAATACTGTTTTCTCTAAATTGGATGGTATTGATGAATTAGCTCAAAAAATGGTGGAAACGGGAAGACATTTGGACTATACATTGGTGTATTTGCTTCTAGAGTTGTCTTTGAATTGATCCTACCGGTTGCAACTGCTAGTGTGGAAAGAGCATTTTCTGCTAGGAAGTTAATCAAGACATCTTTACGGAACCGGATGAGTGATGAATTATTAAATGATTGCTTATTGACGTATGTTGAAAAAGATATTTTTGATCAAGTTTCAAATGAAGCAGTTCTACACCGATTTCAAAATATGAAAGAGCTAGCGTAGAGGAGTATTATCTGGTCGTTCATCATAAACCTTTTATTGTAATCTATAATGTATTTTGTATTTTAACACTTTTATTTGTATTTGAACTTTGTATTAATTGAACATTTTTGAATTTATTTTCCCTTTGGTTCTTCGCCCCTGAATATAAATCCTGGATCCGCCCATATATATATATATATATATATATATATATATATATATATATATATATATATATATATATATATATATATATATATATAAAAGTTCAAATGCGGCGAGGGTTTTAGGTGCGGCAGAATTTTAGAATACACCAACAGTGTTAACAACATACATCAACAATGTAAGGAAAACACACTACAATGAAATGAAAAAAAAAAAAAAACAAAACAAAACAAAAAACAAAACAAAAAAAAAAACAAAACAAAACAAAACAAAACAAAAAAAAAAACAAAACAAAAAAAAAAAAACAAAACAAAATCAAAATCAAAAAATACACACCTAAAAAAAAATACACCATATAACTCACACCCCTAATGGTGTATTTCCGAACACTGTATGGTGTTTTTACTTACACCTAATGGTGTGTTTTTGGTGATACGTACCTAATTTGTGTCTATTTTTGTGGTGTATTTTCCTAACGGATGGTGTCTATTTTTAACAGATACCAAACCTCTTCTTAATCTTAATTAACAAGTAATCACAGTACGTAAAAATGGAGTGAGTGAAAAGGCATGATAAGTAATTACTGAAGAACAGTGGAGTAGATGCTGGATGGGTGAATTTTTGGTTAAAAAGTGAACTATACCCACAGCCTCTGTGTGTATATATATGTATGCATACCCAAGAATTATAATTTTTACCACCCTAGCTAGAGCTACATGCTGAGACGAGATAGAAGAGAAAGGTGGTCCACTTGAGTCTATAGCAGACCGACTTGAGAGAGAAAAGCCGTATAAGATAAGGAATATAATAGAGAAAGAGATAGGAGCAAAAGAGAGAGAGAGAGAGAGAGAGAGAGAGAAGAAGAAGAAGAAGAAGAAGAAGAAGAAATTAAATAAGAAATATTCCTTCTTGGTAGCTGCCATAGTTGTAGTTTTATGGAGTTTTGCTGCTGCTAAAGCCCTCCAAAACCCAGAATCAAAACGAAGAAGAAGAAGAAGCTAAGAAATAAAGAAAGAAAGAGAGAGAGAGAGAGATCTGTAGAAGAAGAGATGAAGAAGAAGATGGTGTCATGCAGATGTAAACAATTTTCTAATCATCATCATCTTCTGGTTTTGTTGTTTTAGCCTTTCTGCTACACATAAAACAGTGTAACATCTTGGGATTTAGCTGTTTTCAGCAAAATCCTTTTGTTTCTTCTTCTCTCTGTTGCTTGGCTGCTTTATACATACATCCATAGATTTTGGCTCTTCTTTAAATTTGCAGAAGCTGAAAAAAAAAACCAAAAAAAAAAAAAAATGATGTCATCAGATGATGCTCTCTCTTCTCTCACTTCCTCCATGAGAGCCTTCATTAACAACAACAATAATCAAGATCCCAATCCAAACCCTAATCCCAATCCAACCCAAACCCCAAACCCTAACCCCAATCCTTCCAACAAGAGAAAGAGAAATCTCCCAGGCAATCCAGGCAAGCATATATATATATACAGCAAGAATTCAAGAAACCCTTTTTTGTTTTTTGTTTTAATTTGGTTTTTTTTTGACATACAGATCCGGATGCAGAAGTGATAGCGCTATCGCCAAAGTCATTAATGGCGACGAACCGGTTCATCTGCGAAATCTGCAACAAGGGTTTCCAGAGAGACCAGAACCTGCAGCTGCACAGGAGAGGGCACAACCTGCCATGGAAGCTGAAGCAAAGGAACAACAAGGAGGTGATAAAGAAGAAGGTGTATATATGCCCGGAGAAGAGCTGCGTCCACCATGACCCGTCTCGAGCTCTGGGGGACCTCACTGGGATCAAGAAACACTTCAGCAGAAAGCACGGGGAGAAGAAATGGAAGTGCGAAAAGTGCTCCAAGAAGTATGCTGTCCAGTCTGATTGGAAAGCTCATAGTAAGATTTGTGGGACTAGGGAGTATAAATGTGACTGTGGAACTCTCTTCTCCAGGTATCCTTCCATATTTATTGCAAATCATTTTCTGTATTTATTAATTGGGAATTCATTAATTATTGTAGAAATTTGGGTTTTTTTCTTGTACGGGCAATTTGATTTTATTTTTTGGTTGAAATAGGAAAGACAGCTTTATTACACATAGGGCGTTTTGCGATGCATTGGCGGAGGAGAGTGCGAGGTTTACTTCTGTCCCGAATCTCAACTTCCGGAACGAATTGCTGTCCGCCGGGAACCCCGGATTCGGATCTCACGTTTTCCGGCCGCCGCAGAACGAGATGGTGGTGGGTGTGGACGCGGCGGGGAATCATCATCAGCTCGGTCTGGATGGGCAGAAGCCGAGGCTGCCGCTTTGGCTGGACGCTAATAATAACGCTCATCATCTCGGCAATGCCAACGAGTTCGCCGGCGGCGGCGGCGGCGGAGGATTAGCGCACGAGCTCCTACAAATGGCAGCGGCGCCGGCTAATATGCTGGGTTTGTCTTCGCAGAACCACTGGTTTCACGGCAGCGGCAGCGCGTCTTCCTCGTCGCTACCGCCGGTGCTGAAGGAGGAAGACGAGGGGAAGATAAGCTCCATGTTCTACAATCACATCCAGGAAGCGGCGGCGGCGGCGCCGCCAGCTCACATGTCCGCCACGGCGCTCTTGCAAAAAGCCGCCCAGATGGGCTCGAGCCGGAGCGGTGGCAACAACACCTCCTCCCCACTTTTCGGCACTGGATTCGGACTAGTAGGGTCCACCTTGTCCTCCCTAGCGGGCAGTTTCAATTCAAGAAACGAACTTCATCATCATCATCATCAGAACCTCGGAAAACAACAACCTCAGCCACACGATCAAACTTTGAATGGTCTGCAAACCTCAAACGCATCAACATTGACCGCACCAGCCAATAACAACAACAACAACACCCAACCAAATGATCATCATCATCCCGGCTTGCTATTGGGGGACATGAACTCATCTTCCTTAATGGGAAATAATAATTTGGAAAACTCTTCTTCTTCATCATTGATGATGCAAAACACCCATGGTAAGCACCTCAATCACACTCTACCAAGTGGGAATAATAGTGAAGTAGTTGAAGGGAGTTTGACTAGGGATTTTCTAGGGGTCGGAGGGAACGAGGGTCAGGGTCAGGGTCAGGGTAGACCCTTTTTCCAACCTCACGAGTTAGCTAAGTTCGCGTCGTCCACTTCATCCTTACCCTTGAATGATTACTCACGACACAACTAATATAGTACATCTCGACTCACTTTTTTCTCGATCAAAATTGATCATTCCTATATAATTATTCTCTCTGTCACATTTTATTGTGTAAAGTGGGTTTTACAAATGTTGAGAGGCTAATTATGTGGAAGATTGAGCTAAGAGGTGAGCAAAAGACAGGATTTGGAAAGGAGAAACTTTCAAGATCTTGTGAATTGTCAGAGGGGGTGGGTGTGGGGGAGGGGGGTAGGGGGCCACTGGATGTTTGAAAAGACTTGACAAAAAGCGACATAGCAATCACAAGGCAGGCAGGCTTTCCAAGCTCCATCGTATTACTTACTGCATGTAGAAAAATTTCCCCCTTTTCTATAGTTTATTTTTACCTTTTTAAATTTTTTGTTGGACCACTGTGAGCCTGTGACTGTATAGGACCAATGATGCAGTGGGATCAGTAGTTTTTTTTTTTTTTTTTTAAATAATGGGATTTTTGATTTTGTAGTTTTCAGTTATAATTAAACATTATGCTTGATTATTGTCATTGCTGAGCTTAATTTTTGAATTGATTTAGCACAGAAATGGAAGTTGTGAAGTGTTGTTCTATATGTGTAGCTTGAATTGGGGTTCAAAATTTGTTGTCCTGGGAGAGGTGGCCAAGTAGGTGGAGTCTGATTCTCGTAGGTTTTTCTAGTATAGTTTAGCACTTGTCTGATTTGTATCATATTATATAGAAGCTACGCTTCAATCCTGACGACGTCAACCTAATGACAATCAATAGGGTCAAATGTTGTTGTGCATAAGGGATCTGTAGTATAACCCACACACTGTTGCTACCGAGTTTCAAACCTTGATATCTTGCCCGGCAATCTTAGGAGGTCATGAATCATGAAATTTTTTATTTTTTAGGTTAGAGGGAGTGGAGACACCGCATTGAAGCCCCAAGCTAACTATCAAAACCTATAACACATCGATCTTTAGTAAGGAACCCAATTTATCCTCGATTGGTCAAAAGCTGCAAGAGAAAACGAAGATGGAGTGTTCCCAAAGATTGAAAACCCCAACTATGACGCGAAGCAATCTGTCACTCTATTTTATTCTCTAAAAATATGCGTTACTTGAATATCCTAACTCATGTCTCCAATCATAATTTTATATATGTTCACAATATAATGCATATTTGTTTACTTTAATAAACACAAATTTGTCTAAGCAACACTGTTATGATGTTGTGTGTCTATTGTTTAATTAACTTATGAAAATTTTCACCATATTGACATTATATCCAATGTTATATTTGCAAATTATACATATACACACACACACCGAGTGTAATAAATATACATTGCACATACACACAAACACACAATGCATAAGACAATTTGGCGACTGCAACATTTAATTTTGTTGTTCATAGTGTGTATATATATTCGTGGGAGTAATGAATAATTTTGTCATTTTTGGTGTGTGCTGTAAAGAATATCAAACTGCTCGAATGTCGATGCTTTCCTTTTCACCATCTTATGAGAGAAATCTGCAACCATACATTATTTGATGGTGTTCATTAGGTAAACCTTACTCATGTGTATTTATCACAAACTATACAAGAAGAGTAAACCACACTAAGATCGTAAAATTCCACTACTGGAAATTATAGAATTTTCGATCACGTGAAAGTGATCTTAAATCAAGTCAAAAACCTTGTTCCGATCACTTTTGGTATCCAGAAAAACCTTAGTTGCTATTTCCGACCACTTTTTGGTATCAACTTGATTTAAGATCACTTTAAGTGATCGAAAATTTCATAATTTCCAGTAGTGTTCTATGCAACGGGCTCGACCAAAAGAGTATTGACCAGAATAAAACTTATAACGTTTTGATTATTAAACAAAATTAAAAGTTATTAAGTAATAAAATTACCATAGTCAAAAACCATATCAGTTATTTACTCTAAATTAAATTAACTGTATGTCTCTCTCTCTCTTCATTCACTCGATATATCTTTCCCTCCCAACGTAACTAAGCTTGTCGACATGTGCACCAGCTTGTCTTTTGTTTTGGCATCATGCGACGCAAACACATATGTTTGAATTTGATTCCCTGCTTGCATATATTGCTGTGTTTAATTCATTTTCCCAGTAAGTACATACATACATACATACGTTAATAATCACAGCAATAATTAAGTGCTGCGTACGTACTGTTGCAGCAGCTAGCCGGCCTCAACTAATCCTAACTCTCAATTCATCCCCTTAGCTTGTCCCCTATATTATTTTATGAGTAATACTACATGTACTCCCATAATATACTCCATTTTTTACTCCCTGCTTACATGTCACTTTTTGATTCGTTCAAAGCAAGGTGGGCCACAGTTTTTATTACTTTCTTTTCATCTTCCTCCAATAAAATTAGGACATGTGACGGGAGTTTTACTCCCTTATTACTTATTAGAGTACATATATCATTTTCCTTATTTTATGGTTTTATTTAGATAGAGCAACTTCATCTCATTCATACCTCCATAACTTAGGATTGTGAAATTTGAACATATATAGATCTATGTAGCATTTGAAAAAAATAAATAAATAAATAAATAAGTTATCGTTTAAATTGCAGTATAGTGTTGCACTCATCAGAAACTCACAATATATAATGCAATTAAGAATACCATTTTCTTTTCCTTCCTGATGTGACGATAGAGCTCTTTGTATTTATATGTTTCTCTGAATTGATTTACCTCATCACGTTAAAATAAGAATATGATCTAAAATTCGATTAATTATTACTTTTTTATTTTGGAATGAAGAGGGAAACTCGCAACCACTATTCAAAGTGTGCATGGAAAAGCTCCGCATTGTGACCCTTACTAGCAAAGAGGGGCGAATCTATAAATTTTTTCGAGTGGTGGGGGCAAATATTAAAATAAAAGAAATAGTTTAAAAATAAATAAATAAAGCACTTAAAAGCATAGTCATAAACATTTTTTAATATGGACAAAAAAATAAAATGCATTAAAATTTTCAAAATATGAAACATATTTTTTTAATAAAATAATTCAAATAGAAAACACAAGACATGATAGATCTGAATTTGAATTCTTGACCTCTCAAAAGTTGTAGCCTGTGATTTACATCTTGCTAACTCATCTTTCATTTATTTTTACCTGTATTGTACTTATACTCTAAATGTACTATATATGTATATATATACAAAAGCCATATATGGGGGTGGGGGTGTGGGGTGGGGGGAGGGGTGCCGCTGCCCCCACAGTGGGCCCGTCCCTGTTTGCAAATGATTGTAAGGATATAGACCAATTTAGATTGTCTAGTCGATTTGATCAAGAAAATCAATAATAGAATACTATTACTACACACTGAAAGTTGAATTTGTAAATCATGCATGAATGCTTCACATTTTTTGGTTCCGAGCTCCATTCTATGGTGGCGCGTGTTTTATTATAGTATTCAAAGTATAAACACCAAACATACCCAGAAGTTGTTTGGAGTTGGCTAAGGTAAACAAGTGGTTAAAAGACAGTTTAACGATGCATGCATGCATGGCAAGTATGTGTATATGAATGAAAGTGTGATTGACATATTGTACCATCTTAGTGAAACTAGTAGCACCAGAAGGGAAGGTACGTAGCTGCATTGAATCCTTGCATGGGAGTGCTAATCTCACTAAAATTGTGAGTCCGACAAACATTATACATCTTTTTTTCTTTTCTTAAAACAAAACTTTGCTTGAAAGTGCTTAGGTTTTCTAAACTTATCATACATGGGACTTTTGTAATGTATTGTTTTTAGGGTGTAAGGGTAGGGGGTAGGGGGTAGGGGTAGGGGTGGGGGGTCCAGGGTGTTTGTGGTATTAGGTATAGTGTAGCTAGGTCTACCTTTTTTTCCAGTGACTAAGCTACCTACCTAGACTAGTGTGTCTACCTAGGTAAACTTAACGACTCTATTTGTGTTTCAAATTCCTTTAGCTTCCCCGTTTCATTCTCTCTACTTTTGTAAATTATTGTTGTTAGTTTTTCATGATAACTACTAACTAGCAATCGTTATATTGTGGGCTTTGGTCCAAAATAACGACGTTTTTATAAGTTGGTAGGAACTAGAGAGTTGACGCGACGAACACTGTTCCGTTCATTTAATTCCATTACAGTTTTTTTAACACTTGTGTTTATGTGTATTATGTTAAAAGTTTATGTGTATTATGTATTATGTTAGATTATGTGTATTATGTTAGAAATTTATGTGTATTCTATTATACAATTCTGTACATATGAAATACGAAATTTTTTTTTTTAGAAGTTTCCGACAGAAATAGAAAACAGATACAAAACAACATCATTTTGGAACCATTGTGCGCCCTGGTGAAAGATATTGGTAGGGAATACCCTGACCGACATGCCTTCGTTCTCTTTCTTACTTGTTTTGCAGGTTACAGGTCGGATTTCTATAAGAAGAACCCGGTCGGTACCCGACCGGTATTGCCCGACCGGGGTGTCAACTACCGAGCGGTAGCCCTTTGGCGAGTGTGCTGACTAAAGACACGTGGCGGCATTAGACGGCGACAGACAGGGCACCCGGGAGGATGACACGTGGTTGCTACGTGGGAAGCATGCCGACCAGCCGGATTCTTGTCCCAGGCTCCGCGGCTATAAATACCCGCCAAAGCAACAGTGAGAGGACTTTTGGACGATCGATAGGTTGTATTCAGAGAATCCCGACCGCATCCAGTCGGTACTCGGTGCGACCAAGTAGATTGTACTTAGGGCCTTTTACCAGATTAATAAGAGACTTTTACTTGCTTTAATTGATCTGGATCTTATTGATAGTTACCGCACACATGGTATTTACATTATCAATTGGCGCCGTCTGTGGGGATCGAGCAAGGAAGCTACGTCAACCGAGCTTGAGACCTTTTCATCACAACATCAGCCACGATGTTTCCGTTCATGCATGATCTCAACAACTACGACCAAGGTGACGCCGCTAGCGACAACCAAGGTCAGAATGTAGATCTCAACTTGAACCTTTCACCACCTCATCCACCGGCACATCAAGCAGCCCAGTATCCGGTGCAGTATGTCCAACCGGCATATCCAATGGCCGGTCAACCGGGTTTTCCACCTCCCGGTCAGCAGATGCCCTATCCCGGGAAATATCCGTACCCAACCCCTCCTCAGCCATACGGATATTGGCCCGGTCAACCGATGTTCTATCCGTCACCAGCCGGATATCCTCAGTACATGCCTGCGTACACGGCTCCAACCGCCGCCCCTCCAGTATTCCCGACTGCACAGGTAGAGCCGGAGCATCAGCCCACTTCCCGGGCTAGACGCTCGGCTCGTTCGCGATTGGGGTCGGGGGGTGCTGATGCGATGGAGGTACCACGGCAGGACCCTCAAGCAGCCGCGCATATGCCCGCCCGAGCGGATGATCCCGATCAAGCTGAGCGGGAAGTGGCTTTTGATCGACTTCGACCGACGATGCGACAACGATTGGGACCAGGTTCAAGCCGGCCGGTAGCAGATGAACCCATGCAAGATGTAAGCCAGGAGGC